AAACAGACTAGACATGTCAGAGCCAATGACGCCCATCAGTAACATAGCCTGGACGGGTATTATGGACGACAACGTTTTCCAGACTAGTCATGGTATAGTCCGATTTGAGAAAAAGACTATACAGGACGTCCCGTCAGGACTAGATATGAGACTAGTCTTTTTACCCGTCCTTTGCTCGCCTGGGTACTTTAATAAAAAAATGAACAAGAATTTGTCTAAATCATATATATAATATACAATGGACAAATCTATAAACATGAAGAAATACAATGTTTATAACACTATAACTATAATGAAAATCGAAAAGTAACTAATGTTAATAACAAATTCCTAAACTAAAGTGCAAAATCAAAAATGGAAGCATTGTTACATATTTAGTGAGGTAACGGCTGGTGAATTGTTCGAGAAGCTGCTTGTGTTGTACATTCCATTTTTGTCAATATATCTCGTTTGGGTTTCTTGTGAATTAAAAGACTTTGTAATGTTCGATTTAATGTGGTACCGAGAATCAATCTTGTATTTCTTAAACGTGAACCTGGATAGACATAGTATTTTTCCCAAATTTGACGATATTCTTTTTTAAAATTTTTTAATGGGCCACTTTCGAATGTGTAATGCAAATATATTTGATCTTTGCGTTCATAATTCGTCGGCTTTTTAAAAGATGTACCATTTGTTTCAAGTTGAACTTTTTGTTCGCGTCTTGTGGGTCTATAAAGTAATTCATGATGTAGTTGTTGATACGATTCAGTATTTAATTCAGTCCAAATATTCATCGCATTATATTTGATAAAGAAGTTTTTCATATGTTGTTGTATAAATTTTGGTGGATAACCATTCACTAATAGTATCATTTCAGTACTTAATCGTTCCATGTCAAAGTCTTCAACAGTGGAACATATTCGAGCTGCTCGAACTAATGCATTGTTTAATATATTCATATGAACATGTCGTGGATGATCCGATGAATACGGTAGAATATAAGGTTCAGAAGCTGATTTATGATAGATAGAAGTTTTTAAATCGCCATTGTTATTTTCTATTGTAACATCGAGATAATCTAATGATTGACTAATTGTAGTTGTAATTTTAATATTCGAATCTGTTTCAGTTGTTTCATCAAGTAATTTTAGAATTTCTTCTTTCGTTAAATTACTTGTCATAAATACATCATCTATATATCTACAAGTATTTATTATCATAACTATAAAACAGACAAGAAGTTCAAAAAATTAAAAATTTACCGGCCATAAATTCCATTGTGTAGTTTTTGATGTTGAATTAATTTTTGTTCCCATTCTAACATATAAATATTGGCTAATACCATAGTAAAAGGTGAACCCATAGCACCACCTTTAATTTGTCTATAATACTTATCTTTATATGCAAATGTATTGGTATCTAAAACGACACATGCTAATTGAATAATAGTACTTATTTTAAGTATGCCAATTTTTCCATTAATGGCATTGTTTTCACAAAATCGTGTTAAAGCAGCAATAGCACCATCACGTGGGATCATTGTATATAAATCAGCGACATCAAATATAACAAATAGTGTTGTTGACGTCAGATAACCTTGTTGTTGATATTCTTTTAATTTTCGAACAACATCTATACCATTAATAAATGTAATGTCTTTCGTCACATAATTATATATTGGAGTGAGAAGTTGATCTAAAAAACTTGATACAAGTCTTGCTGGTGCATTGATAGAAGCAACAATAGGTCGAACTGATATATCAGGCTATAAAAAAAAAACAAAAACTTAAATTATGACAAATGAAAGCAAGTAGTTTACCTTATGAACTTTCAGGTTGAAATAAATATGAGCCAATTCTAATGTTTTTAAGTTAGGATACATTTTTTTATATTGTTCATTGGTAATATCCTTCCGTTCGAGTAAATGATCAAGTAATAATATTACCAAATGTAAATTATCAGCTAGCGGGCAAATACCACTGGTGATTTCTTGATATGCATTAGTTTTATTCATGTAATTCTTAATTTTTTCTTCATATTCTTGTGCATCAATAAAAAAAAATAATTTACTTTTATCAGTTTGTCCAACAGTAATATTTGCTTTACGTAATTGTCGTTGCATTGATTTTATCATACGACTTAAATATCGAGCATGTCTTGCAATTTTGTTTGGTATGGGTTTCATATAAAGTTGTTTAAGTAAAGTTTTAATTGCAAGAAAATATTCTTTAGCTCTTGTATCAGTAGTTGGAAAAGTGTAATCTGTAAGGTTTTTAACATTTTCATCGTAAAGTCGCTTATATTCTCGTTCAATAATTTTTTCAATTGGTTTATTCGATAAGAAATGACTTTGACACGGTGGAATAAATTTCAAACCTTTATTTATTATCATTAATTGTTCATTGGATAATGGTATAATAGTATTGGCAAAATATAAACAAAGAAACATATCAGTATGATTTCGCATAATTAATTTTGAATTGCTCCGACACCATCCTTGTTCATAATATCTTGTTGTGGTGCCGGAGCTTCGTCGAAAAAAGACATTAATTTTTGTTGTGTAATATAATCAGCTCGTTCAATCATATGTTTTTCACGTGCTTCAATTGCTACCATTAATTGTTTAAAAATATCAGATGTCGAATTACTATTCTTTAACTTATTGGTCACACAAATTAATTTTGATTTTTCTTTTTTCATTTTTTTATCATAATATCGAACTTTTTCTTCACCAGCAGCTATACTTAATTCAAGCATATCATATTTAAATCGGCCAACTTTTTTTATACGACGTGCATTTAATATAGTTTGTTGCTTGCTATCATTATTATGCATATAATCTTGTTTGGATCGACTAAGTATTTTATCAATTCTATTAAGTGAATAATCAAGAAGATTGAATGCTGGTGGTAAACAATTGGAATGGATACGATGTTTTAATATTTGAATTTGTTCTTCCATTTGTTTATTATTTTGTAAGGCTTTCCATATATTACGAATTGAACGAAGTTGTTGTTGACTTGGTTTCAAATCATAAACTTCTTGTACTAGATGATGATCAGTTGAGTCAAGCATTAACATTTTTTTATTATGTTCAAATTGTTGTTTTAATTTATGTTGACCTTTACGCACAACAGCGGTAATAATTGCGTTCAGTTTTGTAAAATCTAATGGAGGATTCATTTCTGATAGACATTGAGGTAATGGTTGATCACCAAAGTTTTGTAATGCTTGTGATGCTTGTTGAAGTTGTCGTTGGATACTTTTGAGACGTTGTAAAATTAATGTTTTTGATCGACCATAAGTATAATTCATACTGTTCATCGCCGCCCATTTTTTTGATACACGTCCTGTCCAAATATTTTGTTGTATACCAATATCATAATAATATTTCCATTGACTTTCTTGTAATTGTACATAAAAAAGACGATGTATTAAGCAAGTATATTGACGAATATAATTTATTTTTTCTTTTGAGTTTAATCTTTTAACAATATGTTTAGCATCGTCTAATGAACTTATTAACATTTTTTTAAATATACGATTTGACACTTGTAAATAATCAGGTATATAAGAAGAGTCATTATTATTATGATTATTTTGTTTTTTACATTTTGAACGTTTCTTCTCTGAGGTTCCATGTGTAGTAATTTGTTGAACTTCATTATTTATCATTTTTTGCTTTTTTGCTGATGGTGGAGAAATTGTTAATTGACTTAAAGATTCATGAATTGTATTCGATGGTGGTTGTGATGATATATCTCTTCTTTTACGTTTGATTGATTTTTTCATTTTACTATCATTGTGATGAATTTTACTGTGTGTCGAAGGAGGAATCTAAATCAGCAGATGAACATTTAGAAAAAAAAAAGATTCAAACAAAAAAGGATACTTGATCGGATGATACATTCACTTGTATTTTTTGTGATATATCTTCTTCAATTATTTGATCATGCTGTTCCAGTTGTTGAACATTAAGTTCCTGATCACCATTTCTAGTTACTGTTTCTGAATATAAACCTTTTTGACGAAGTCGTCGACGTTGACGTTGTGCTTTTCTATTACCACGACATTTTTTTTTCTTTTTTGTAAGTTGTTCACCCACTGGTGATTGTTGTTGTTGTTGTTGTCCTGTCGGCACTTGTGTTGGTGATAATAATTCATACCATCGACCTTGTGCATCTTGATTAGGAGTTTTAAATGTGTCTAAATTCATATGCGAATTTGCATTCATTTTAAATATTTTTATCTAGAATAAAAAAACAAATGGTTCAATAAAGAAATGATGATGAAAAAAAAAATAACTACAAAAAAATAACTTCAGTAATCGAAAGTATAACTAGAAACTTAAACAAAAAAAAAAAAACAATTGCAATAGATACAACATAAGTTTTTTTATACCATTCAATTTTAACAAAAAGTAATTCTTTTACTTAGCGTTCATTGAGCAGAATAATTGCAACCATCATATACACCGAAACGTTGAAATGCTTTAACCAAACCAGGTGGTTCAACAGTGACATCTTCTTTTATTTTTTCCACGTGTTGAATGTTAGATGGCTCCACATTAAATTGTTCTTCATCTTCCATATTTTCCACAGGAGTGTTTTGTCTTCGATGTTCCATATCATCTTCATTGAATTCATCATAAGATTCAAATGATTGTAAACAAAGTTCTTCCCATTCTTTTTTCTTTTGTTTTTGTTGTTCTTCATTTTGCTGGAGTTTTTCTAATTCATTCCATAATTCTTCTTCTAGTTCTCCAAATAACTGTTTTCCTTGTAGTGGTTGATGTAACTGTTCAAGTCTAAAATAATGAGAATGTGGCCCATATTGATATTCCATTATTGCTGAAACACGTTGCTGATGGTCACTTGCAAGCATTGCATGTTCTTGTTGTCGATGCTGCATCTGAAAAAAAAAAAAAAAAAGAAATACATTTTTTTCTATTATAAGAAAATGGTTCTATTATCTTACTTCTTTATTTACAGTGGATGTTGAATTGTTGATTGCATTTTTTTCTTTACGAATATCCATAATTTTTTCAAAGTGAATCTAGAAATAAATAGTATAATTAAAATATGTACCAAAAAAAATGAACGAAACTCTACTGTAAAATATTGCATACATATAATCTGTATAACTATATTTAAATTTCTAATATATATATAGTCATACAACATTGTGTCTTAAAATACAATGAGACAATGTATGCATGTGTATACACATCCGAAATTTAAAAAGGTGAAATCCATAAAAATAAACGTTAACTAACCTTAATAAAATAGTTGTAAGTAAGAGCTGTTGTTATTGTAGAAGATGAATTGATGTTATCGCTGTTGTGTTTATCTTCGAATGAATTCATTATGAGAAATTTCGGTCTATTTATAGGCAAGCCGATATAGAGTGATCTGTCCTACGAGAGACGACAGGCAGATATGGAAAGATCGATACAGTGAAAGACACACCACGGCACAAAAAATTGTACAACACGATAAGGTTGAACATTCCACATTATAATGTAGAAAAGAAGGACATACCACGGCATACAGCGATAGACGAAGACATACTAAGTGATAACACAACGCAGAAGGACAGACCTCAGTGTATTTTCGAAATTGATGTCGAATTCAACATTTTTTCTCGTAGTATATTTTTTTTTGTAATATTTTGTTAAAAATTTTTATAAGAATTCTTTACATTTTATTTAAATCGATTACAAAAAAAACATGACTATTTTATCTAACATTTAAATATTTCTATAATTTGAAATTCTTTAATTGTAAATCTTTTTTTTTTTGTTTATTATTAGTTTGTACGCTAAATTTCTACTTCTAATCTTTTTTAACATAGGTTAGAATTACAAATGACGATACCAATATACAATATATCATACTCTAGATATCATTTACTATTTTTTTTTCTTTTGTAAAGTGTTCATAAATTTATCTGAAATCGTGTTAAATTATGAAGCGAATATTTAAAAAAAGAGAATTTGTTAAAGGTGTATATTTTCTAATTTAAAACATAGCTATTTCGTTGGAATTTATTCCGAAACATTTTGAGAAAACTATTCTTTTTATATATTCACTAATATATTTAAAAGCATTGCAACATTAAACATTTCGTTTGAAATTTTTTTTAATTAAATTTCAATTGAAAATTGTGTTTTTTTTTTGTTGCTTTTATGATTCTTAGAGTATATGTAAATCTTTTCGTATTTTGTATTGGAACTTTTATTTTCAACCTTTTTGTGTTTTCATAAAGTTATTTTAGAATAAACTTCTATTATTTTATTCAATGTTGCACGTAGCTAAAAATCTTTTTTTTTTCATATTCATAATTCATCGTGTTGCTCCATGATTTTGTTGAGTCTTACAAGAAAAAAACCTTATGCATATTTCAATTGAATGAATGAAAATCATAATATGTGTGTCATGAAGTAGCAACTTTTTAAATCATTTTCTGATATTTTATTTCAAAAAAATGATTTCACACTTTATTTTAATTCAAGAAAAAAAAATATAACAGATACAAAAAAAACAATAATGAAAAGAAGAAAGATAGTTTTTAGTAGTCTTTTAACATTCCCAGTCGTATGATTCGTAAGGATCACATATAAATGGTGACGGTGGTAATGATATTGATGGAAATGATGAGTTATGTTCACTATTGTTTTCATCAGCACTGGTTAAATAAGACTCTGAACTTGATGTTGAAAGTTCATATTGTTGACTTTCATATTGTGTACATTTGTTGTTATGTATGTGACCAGCACTGAGAAAAAAAAAAGAATTATAATATAAATATTATATAAAGAATTTTTATTCTTAAAACAATTTACTTTTGATGTAAATTTACACGTGGACGATCAATAAGAATCAATCGACGAGAAAAAGGCAAAACAAGCTAAATTATATAAATTATAATTAACTTTGAAAAATAATCGAATGTTCTATCTTACTCTTCCATTTTCATTGATATCAAGTAGTTGAATCAATTGCATATAAATATCATTAATAATATTCTAGGAGAAAAAAAGTTTGAATTTATGCTTTTTTTTTCTAACATTTATTGTCTTTTTTTTCTCACTTGGTGTCCATGTACTGATGTAGACGACATAATAGGTATTTTACGCTATAACTAATAATATTCTTTTATGTTTAAATATATATCTAAAATAAAAAATAAAGTTTAGTTATTTATGGCTTTTGTTGAATGACATGTTTTTTCTTAAAATATTAATGTCAACTTCAGAATTAGATATTAAAATGTTAACCTTTACTTGAATCAACTCTGTATTATACTCTTTAGAAAACTTAATTCAATCATAGTACATGTCGGCCGTGAATATATAATAATACTCGAAACATTACAAATCACGAAAAGTAAATGAAAATCTTATTACTAATACAATGACAATGCGAAACTAATGAATAGAATAATGTTATTCTCAACTTATCGTAATTGATTAACACTATTAATATATTTAATGAACATTAGTTTCATTTTGGAATGGAACGATATATTGTATATGCACTACATGTATATTTAACAAAAAAAAACAACAACAATAGTTTCATATATATATTTCAAAAGTTTCCAAAATAGTCTATATTTAATGAAAATATAAAAAGTTTTTTTTTTGTTTTAAATTATTCGTTTGTTTTTCTTTCTTCATCTGCATCATGTTTTGGATCTTTGTCATCGATATGCTTCTAATTTTTATAAAGAGATAGTATAATTTGATCAAAAAAAATGTGTCATATGAAAAACATATATTTTCGCGAGAAACATACTTTTTTATTTACTAATTTTATATTATTATCATTTGATTGAATCGATTTTCTTGGAATACTAATTGCATTTTTACTTCGTGATGATGATTTTTTTTAATTGTACTGGTGTTGTTTGTCCATGACGATTGTGCATAGGGAGCACGCATTAATGCAGCACGTTTACAGACAGTTTCAAATAATTTTGTTTGCATTTTACCACTTATATATTATCTGATATAGGATAGAAATTCATCACAAATTATAAAAAAAAAGACTTATAATTTTTAATCTAATAAACTATCAATGATTTATTCAGTTTTATGGAACATTAAATTGAATTTTTTTTTGTGAACGAAATTTTTTTAGGAATGAGATTATCTGGTAGTGAGATTATTCTGTCGTAATTAAATAGACATCAGATGGATGTATAAATATTTTAAATTAAAAAAAGCTTGTTAGCGCAGCTCCTACGGAGCTGAAATGTGGAACTCACGTATACCTTTAGCTTTGTTACCTGACGCATCATCTGTATACTGAAAGACTTCT